AGGTTTGATAGAAGTGGCTGGAAGACCTGCCAAGAGAGCATTGCAATAGTCCAGCTTGGATAGAACAAGAGCTTGAGCAAGGAGTTGTGTTGCATGTTCTGAAAGAAAGGGCCTGATCTTTCTAATCTTGTATAAAGCAAATCTGCAGGACCAGGCAGTTTTAGCAATGTGGTCTGAGAAATTCAGCTTATCATCAATTACAACTCCAAGGTTTCTAGCTGTTTTTGAAGGAGTTATGGTTGATGAGCCTAACTGGATGGTGACATTTTGATAAAGTGATGGGTTTGTTGAAACCACAAGCAGTTCTGTCTTAGCCAGGTTGAGTTGAAGGTGATGGTCAGTCATCCAACAAGAAATGTCTGTTAAGACATGCTGAGATGCGAGCAGCTATCGTCGGATCATCAGGATGGAATGAGAGGTAGAGTTGAGTGTCATCAGCATAGCAGTGATATGAAAAGCCATGTTTCTGAATGACAGAAGCTAGTGAAGCCATGTACACAGAGAAGAGAAGTGGTTCAAGAACCTAGCCCTGAGGCACCCCAGTAGCTAGATGTTGCGACTTGGACACCTCACCTCTCGAAGATACCTTGAGTAAGAGTGGAGCAGAAAGTATCAGTAGCACTGTTAACATCAAGAGATAATAACTGTTCAGGGGAAGGAAGCAAAGATGAAACCATAGCAGATAGCCGGGAGGGTGAGAGTGAGCGTAGGTTACATCTAAAAGTGACATGTGTAGGGGTATGTGTTGTGTCAGAAACCATGTTGAGGTTAAGAGTGAGGAGGAAGTGATCCGAGGTGTGCAGTGAAGTAACCAGTACATGATCAGTGGAGCAGTGTCGTGTGTAAGTAAGGTCCAGTTGGTTGCCTGATTTGTGAGTAGCCATAGTTAACACTCGCTTGAGATCAAAAGAGGCAAGCAGAGTGTGGAAGTCTGCAGCCTAAGGTTTATCTAGGTGGATGTTGAAGTCTCCAAGCATAACTAGGGGAGTACCATCCTCAGGAAAGTTTGAGAGCAGCACATCTAAATCTTCCACGAAGTTACCTAGTGGTTCTGGGGGTCGATAAACAACTATAAAATGGACTTTAAGAGGGTGGATAATAGTGGCTGAATGTGATTCAAAGGAGCTGCTGATACTCAGAGATGGTAAAGGATTACATTTTCAATCATTAGAGATAAGCAGACCAGTACCTCCACCTCTTCCAGTTAGACAGGGGGAGTGGGAAAAAGAAAAATTATTGGAGAGTGCTGCTTAGGATTGCGCTGCCTACAGTGTGTGATGCATGGTTTGCGAGTGGTAGTGATAGTAGGGATCTGGAAACACATAGTAAGAATTGGTTATAAAAACTGAAAACAGAAGGGAAACAAGTAGTAGGAAAGAGAATGATTCAAAAGCGATACTTATGTCCCTTGCCGGTGTCCCTGCTCGGTGGAGTCGAACAGTAGAGTCGATGGTCTTTACACTCTTTGGTTTTCACACGAGGAGAACTTCACGCGACCGCTGCCGTGGTATACTAAGCTTTTTCTATTCATCTAACAAAACTCAAATTTAATTCAGCTGGACACACTTTCCTGTTTATCACAACAAATGGCCAAGCAAAGCGCACGACACTGACAAGGTACGCGATACAGTACGAGACCAAACGCGATTTCAGCACGTCTCCACACAGTAAACAAAACAAGCGTTTCCTAGCAACGACAACTGCGCTAATCACTGAGACAAGAAATAAATACACTTACGAGCTGCTTTTAACTTCTGCTGAGTGACTGCTTCTCTTAAAGTGTATTTCTTTACATTGTGTTTTGCTGGTGCTTGAACATACTTTCCTGTTTATCACAACAAATGGCCAAGCAAAGCGCACGACACTGACAAGGTACGCGATACAGTACGAGACCAAACGCGATTTCTTTATATTAATATATATTATATTAATTATATCATATATATTTTTATGATTATATAATTTTAAATAAAAAATTGTTTTATGTATTATGTACAAACATTAACTGTGAAAAAAAACATTTTATTATTTTTTCCAACAATAAAAAGATATTAAAAACAAGCAGCTTTCTCATAATTATAGCAGAAATACTGGAGGAAATGTTCTTATAAAGTGTTACTCAAAAAACAAGCCAATCAGAAACACTCTTTGCCTGTTCAGATATTGCTCAATATGCCACAAAATTAGTGTAGTTTTAAGTCGGAGGTAAATGTACCAGAACTGAGAGATGAATGAGGAACAAAAGGGAGGAAAATGAACAGAGGAAGGTTGGAGGTCAGAAGGAAAGTGCAGCCAGGTGAATGACCATACAGTGGAGCTCAACACATCACTGCAGGAAGAGAAAAGATTCTGAACAGAAGTAGAAAAAGAAATGATAAATGGGCCAACCACAAACCACATACACAAACAAACAAAACGATTTAAAGAAATGGGCTGCTTACAGCTTTCAAAATGCTGACGGCTTCTTTACTGAGCCACACAGGATAAAGCACGTCATCATGGAGGATGGACTCAAAAAGATCATCCTCATTGTCAGCTTCAAACGGAGGCTGACCAGCCATCATTTCATACATGAGAACACCCAGAGCCCACCAATCCACCGATGGGCCATACTCCAACTCCTGCAGGATCTGAACGAGAAAGACACAAAAACAAGATTGAAAATTATGTCAAACACCTCAGCTGTTTGTCATGTTCATTATGATTTACTAGACATACTTCAGGTGCAATGTAGTCAGGGGTCCCGCAGAAGGTGGTGGTCGTGACCCCGTCCAGAACGCCCTCTTTGCACATACCAAAGTCGGCCAGTTTACAGTGGCCTTCAGCGTCCAACAGAATGTTATCCAGCTTCAGATCTCTGAAGCGACGGGAAAAAAACAATTAGACCATATTCAACATTTTTGGTGTCTTGCTTAAAGTCTTTAAAAAAATTGTCCAGGCTGTTCAAAGGGGTGTGAAGGGATCGGCATGCCTCTTAGACAGTAAGCTGACAAATGATCTACAGGACCTTGAGGGTCTGGGCCGTTCTGCAGACCTTTACAACAATAACACAATGGTGCTGTGCCTCATTTATAACTCAAGATGTTCTCTGCCCCATTCCTGAGATGGCTGCATTTAAGTTTAAGTGTTTGAAGTGCACAGGGCTAAACATTTGAGTAGGTAAAAATGACAGCAGCCTCAGGTAAGCTGTCAAAACCCTTCATAATGAAATAAAAAATAGCTGTATGTAGGGCTGGGCAAAAAATCAAATGCGATTTTCATGCGAATCTCATCAGTAAAGACGCTTCTGGTGATTAGTAGTAAATCTCCAGCACATGCTTTCACAAGCTACACAAACTCACGTTCAAAATCGCAGGCGATTCATTGCTGATTTTGAAACGCGATTTTGTGTAGCTTGTCAGTGAACTACGGCACTGAGTAGTAAATGCTGCTCCATCTGAAAGCACGTGCTGGAGATTTACTACTAATCACCAGAAGCAGCTTTACTGATGAGATGCGCATGAAAACCACATTAGATTTTTTGCACAGCCCTAGCTGTATGTCTTTGGTCATACTAGGGATTTCCTGGAACGTCGTAAGCTCTATTACTTCTGTGAGTCTCACTTGTGGAGTTTCTGCGAGATGGCACACTAAAACTCGCAACACCCTATTTTGGGTAATAAAGGAAAAATATAATTCTCTCTCTAAAGAAATCTGAAGTAAACATATGAGAGCCTATATGTTTTTATCCAGAGAAGTGTAAAGTAGTTTGTTTTTTTTTTCATAAAATTTGCTGACAATAATTAAGAAATTACCACGGTGAAAGAAATTACTGGTGAAAAATTCATTAGTAGTTTTTTTTTTTTTTAAGAAATTGATACTTTAATTCAGGAATGATGCATTAAATTAAGTCACAGTAAAGACTTAAATTGTTACAAAAAACATAATAAATGCTGTTTTTTTCCCACAAAAATTCCAACATTGATAATTATAAGAAATGTTTCTTAAGCACCAAATCAGCATATTAGAATGATTTCTGAAGGATCATGTGACCCTAAAAACTGGTGTAATGACAGCTGAAAATTAAAATTTGCCATCACAGGAATAAATTGCATTTTTAAATATAGTACAATAGAACAGTTTTTTTTTATTAAATTTTGTTTACAACAGTTGTTTAAAATTGTAATCATTTCACAGTTTTTCTTTATTTTTGGTCAAATAAATCCAGACTTAGACTTATGTACAGACACCTCCTTCAAAGGTAGATGATTCATGGTGCAGCATGGCTTTTTTAGATGAGTGACTGGGGCTGAAGGGAAGTGTACTGCCAATAAGTTTCTGTCATGCTCTAACATAAATCATCTTTACTGAGGTAGGTGGAGCAGGAAAGGTTAGAGAAGAGAATGCTGGGTGCCAGATCATGTCAGCCAATGGGTACATGTGCCTACAATGTCCTCTTGATAACCTTATGTGTTTACATGTGTATGTGTTGGTTATATTGAGAAATACAGAAGCCGGGGTGTGGTTCAACACACAAACACACATCAGGTGTCTGCGCATCTGTTTACACACTTCTGAGATAAGGATTCACAGTTCTCTTGTAAAACCTATCATAATGTAACATGAGCTGTTGTATTTTTATGATACTATTCAAGTGATTAAAGATTACATGCATTTGTAAGGAAGCTCAAGTTACTTTCTCGTCACTTAAAAGTGTCCAGTCATTTTTTCCTCATTAAACAAGTTTACCCTTAAAGAAATGTTGCACACTTACATGAGATGAAGACTCCAGTCATATCAGTAGCCTATTAAAAGCTGTGTTTTTTAAAGAAATTAATATTTTAATTTAACAAGGAAGCATCAAAAGTGACAAAAAGACATTTCTAATGTTATAAAAGTTTATATTTCAAATAAATGCTGTTCTTTTGGATTATTCATCACAGAATCCTGAAAAAAAGGTTTGTAAAAAAAAAAAAAACCTAGGCAGCACAACTGTTTTCAAGATTGACAATAATAAGAAATGTTTCTTGAGCACCAAATCAGCATATTACAAGACTGGAGTAATGCTGGAAATTAAGCTTTGCCATCATACGAATACATTTTAAAATATGTTAAAAAAGAAAACATTAATTTTGAATTTTAATAATACTTCACAATTTTACAGTTTTTACTGTATTTTTCATCAAATAAATGCAACCTTGGTGAGCAGGAGAGACAGTTTTCAAAAACATTAAACACTTGTTTATATATATATATTCAAAATGTTAAGTATACACAAATAAAGTAGTGTATACTTATTAAAATAATATTATATACTTATTATAATAATATAATAAAGTACTTACAAATCATTACAAATAATTAGCAAGCAACTAGTCTATAGTTATTTCATAGTTTATATGTAACTCTCTATAAAATGTTCATGAGTGTGTTGTGTGTGTCAACAGTTCAATAAAGCTTTACAGGACAAAGATAGCAACAGAGAGCCTAACAGGCCTAGCCTTTGATGGTTGATTGGGAAAAAATTTCAACATTTCTTTGCTGGCATCATTCAAGCACAGCTCTTTTAGTGATGCACTGTTCCGACATGAGGGCGGGACAGCCCAGGTTTATGTAACTGTGCTATTTTTGACAGCAACCATGGAAGTTGGAAGAATTTTGGGTTATGCACTTAACATGACAATAGCCAATAGAAATAGCGAACTGCACCACAGCTTCCTGCAAGTTAAAGCCAGGAGCTGTCATCTGTCCACTGCACAGAACAGGTTGAGTTAAAGTAGACTGTGTACCGCTCAGGGTTCAACAAATGCTTCAGTGTTCAGGGCTTTTCAACGGACACCAGAGACTAATCTGATAGCGACAAAACCGACAATCAATTTCTCTCTCACGCACACATCAGCAAATAAAACTAAAAATCAAATATATATAATTTGTTTTTTTTTTACAAATAATTTTTTTTTTTTTTTACTAATTAAGTAAAGACTCTCTGACCCCTTTTGGATTTGACTTCCACACTTCCTCTGAGCTCCACTGGACAACTGCACATACACGTACACATGCCATAATGCATGGTCTCCCGCACATACGCACATGTGCATGTACACACACATAATTAGGCCCTATTGAAATGCCTTCCTGTGTTCCCTTTGTGTGCAGAGTGATTTTTCCATAGAGTCCCTCATCACTTTAACATGAGGTTTAGCCCCAGTACAAAAAAAAAAGAAATCTGAGCTAAACATACAAACGGGATGGTTTTCGGGTTTAATCAGACAGCAAGTCTGTACACAGGACAGGCATTGACCTGCACAACAGACTAAAGAGATACAGTTTACCACTTCTTTGCTTTGGCTTTGTCATTCTCAAGGTCTTTCACTTTATAATAAGTATACTTATTATTATGGGACTCTCTCTCTAGTTATACTATATAATATATATATATATATACACACACATACATACAGTATAACTAGAGAGAGAGAGAGTTAATTTTCTGTGAGGGTTAGACTTAGGGGATAGAATATACAGTTTGTAAAAACCATTACGCCTATGAAGAGTCCCTGTAAACCAGTGTGTGTGTGTGTGTGTGTGTGTGTGTCTTTAATGTATTTAATGTAAACATTTTAAGGGACAGTGAATATGAATGAACTATTCGCAGCTTATTACCAATTAACACTTCCTTTACTATGGGCTAATTAAACAATAATAATTGTGTTAACTACAGTGATAATGAATGAAGAACTCACTATTTGTGTAGAGTCTATTAATGTATTAACTACAGTTTATAAATTATGAATTAACTGTAAACTAATAGCTTGTTCATGATTCACGAGTACTTTATTAGTGTATACTTATTACAAAAATGTTACAAGAAAATTACATAGAAAATTATGGTTCAATAATATTGAATTTGTAATAATAATATAAGTTGATCATACTCAGAATCTATGGTGTATCTGTCCATCAGATTGAGTTCGTTACTATAACAACAGTAGATCAAACAATCATTGTAAAAAATTCTTTAAAAACTTTGTCGAGATCACAAGAAAATTAAGTCTGTTATAACGAGAAAACAACTCTCGTTATGTCGATATAACGAGAAAATTAAGTCGTTATAACGAGAAAACAACTCTCGTTATGTCGATATAACGAGAAAATAAGTCGTTATAACGAGAAAACAAGAAGGAAAAAAAAAATAATGCATGGCCGCTTAGAACTTCCGTATATATATCCATCTATGTACACTACTGTTATGATCACCAGCTGGAGTGCCCGTAAGCTCCTCTAGAGGGCACTCTACCCCAGACTGTTGCCACTCTCACAGACTACATTTCCCATAATCCTTTGCCTGGATTCATCATCTCTTATCAGTTTCACCCCATTTATAGCCTGGTTTCTCACTCATTCATGGCTGAGTATTGTCTAGCCTGTAACGTTCCCTATTTTCCTTGTTGCCTTGTCTTGTTTTTTGATCCATGGACTGTTTCCTTGTTTCTGCTTGTTTGCTGCCTGCCCTGACCTTTGCCTGTTTATCGGATTACTCTTTTGTCTCACTCTGGATTGTACCTGTTTGCTGGTGTTTGCCTGCACTTGGATCCACTACTACGTTGTCACGCCTCCCACGTTACAACTACCATTCAAAAGTTTGGGCTTGGTAAGATTTTTTTAAAAAGAAGTCCCTTATACTCACCAAAGCTGCATTTATTTGATCAAAAAAATTGTAAAAAGTTATATTGTGAAATATTATTTCAATTTACAATAACTGATTTCCATTTTAATATATTTTAAAATGTAATTTATTTCTGTAATGGCATAGCTGAATTTTCATCAGCAGATTTCCTTCAGAAATAATTCTAAAATGCTGATATAAAACATTTATTATATTAATGTTGAAAACAACTTATTAATATTTTTTTTGTGAATTATTTTTTTTTTTAAGGATCATTTGAGTATATACTCAATATACTCTCTAAGAAACGGGATAGAAAACTATTTGTATAACAGGATCTTGACACGCTTCAAGTGATTTAATACACCTCACACAAAGAAATCTGATATTCTAGAACATTCAGTACATTCAGTACTTGTACAAATTAGAAGTGTATTAATTGTTTTAAGGATTTCCAATCTAACCGTACTCCTCACGAAAAAAATAGGGGCTAGAGAGAAAAGGTGGAGAGGGTTTGTTATTGCTGGGGGCTAAAGAGGGCTCTCATTCTTTAGAAAGGTGCTATAATCCACTAATACATCCTACCTCCAAATACATTCCTCAACGCTTCCCTGAGGCCAGATCTATCATGCAAAACCACCTGTTCATTTACAATGACACTTACAAGACCTAATAAATCACAAACCACAAATAAGGAAACATTTGATCATCTCTTTAAATCATGCACTGAACTATTAATATAATTCAGTGAGGAATTTAACATTGGTGTTCCTGCAACCATTAATCATATTCATCTTCGAATGACTACTATTAACAAAATACAAACCCTGAGGAAGAAGATGGGCAGTGACAGCTCACTTGCTTTAATTAACTAAAAGAAACACTTTATTGGACTAGAACAAATCAATATAAGCATCAAGACGTTGAAATGGCAAGCACTTTTGACATAACACAGTGTGGAAGGGACGATAATGACAGTTCAACTCAAATTGACAACTCAAATTGGGGACGTGTATAGTTTGACCTCTTGTTTCTTTGCAGGTCTCAGCAGGAAAGAGTAGGATTATGACAGTACTACAATGTCTACCCAAGCTTTGGATAAGGAATATTGCTTTTTGTGCTTTTCTTGGGGCATGTGACTCATTGCAGCCTCTGTATTCACCTTTCAGCATATCTTTTTTGCTTGTACGTCTGATTGTGTGATAAACAGATGTAAAGACAGCGAGATACAAGTTTGTACCTGGGAAAGAATCAATGTGTTTGGCTATGTTCACACAGTCAGTTTGGGACAGACAACCATATTTATCAACGGGTGTGAATTTCAAATTGTTTTGTATAAACGACAACACTGAATGCATTTGATTCGCTTTCATAGGTGAAGTGAGTGTGAACACACCATACTGATCATTCTAAACTGTATTTTGCTACTGTATGAATGTAGCATGTGTGTCAATATCTGTCAATAATTTCATCTTATTGGCCTCTGTGCAAAAGAAAAAAAATAAAACGTCTGAACTGTAGCAGGAGCTCAGAGCTGCAGTCAGTACACAGTGTCTCTTCAGCTGTGCCTGGGGAGCAGGAAACCTGCTCTGGTCTGAATAAGGACTTTAGTTCACTGAGAGAGGTAAGCTGATACTAAATGCTACACTAACAATGGCGTGATCTTTTGCTAACTCTCACAGGTCAAATAGGATTAGCATCTGCCTCAGAGCTGGAACAAAAACAAGCATTTAAAGTCTTTGAGTGCCAGTTAGCATAATGCCTGGGTAGAATTGGCATCATTTATGGGAGCTGAAGTCACAATGTAGTCTCATGGCATGACTAGTGCATGGATTTCGAGTTGAAGTGTACAATTTCTACAATGATAGTCTCACCAAAAAGTGTAACATGAAATCAAACTTTCTCAATTTTGTCAGTGTTGTGTACAATACCACCATGAATATAAATATGTATTAAGAACGTAAAAACAGTCAATTGTGAATGCAAATTGACTTTCAGGCTGAAGTGTGCATTTTTTGTTTGTTTGTTTCTTTAAAATAGGTGTCCATATCCTAGCTCAGTGTTTCTCAACCCTGGTCCTGAGTGCCCCCCCCAACACTGCACATTTTGTATGTCTCCCTTATCTGACACCCATTTCAGGTCCTGGAGTTTCTTTTAATGAGCTAATGAGTTGAATCAGGTATGTTTGATTAGGGAGACACACAAAATGTGCAGTGCTGGGAGGCGTCCAGGACCAGGGTTGAGAAACACTGTCCTAGCTTAATATGCAGAGACAGCTATATATAGGTAATGATGATGATAATAATTTATTAATAATAAATGTTTATTTTTGCATTAAAAACGTAAAATTGCCAATTGTGATTTTATGTTGACTTTTAAGCTGAAGTGCGTTTTACTTATTTTTGGTTAAAATAGGCATTCAAATTCTAGCTTAATATGCAGAGAATATATACATATAGCTATATGTAGGCAATAATAATACATTTTAATAAATATTTATGTATATATTTATTTATTTTAAATAAAATGTCAGTGGTTTGAAACGACCCCTTTTCACAATCCAATTAATTTCTGTTTGATAAAACTTTCCCAAAACATTTTCCCACTGAAAATCCATCTCATAAAAAAATATCACTCCTGTTGACTTGTACTGTGTGTGTATACCTGTAGATGACACCATGTTGATGCAGGAACATAAGTGCAGATGTGACCTCAGCTGCGTAGAAACGGGAACGAGCTTCATCAAACTTTCGTGAGCGTTGGATCTGAAACATCAGGTCTCCTCCATTCACATACTCCATAACAAAGAACAACCGATCCTAGAGAGACAGAGGGAGAATAAAAAAAAGACAGAGTTGATTTTCATAGAATGGACTCCACACCCAGTAATAGCGCAGGGTATCTGCAGCATTTGCAAGCTCAAATTTAAGACTTTTTAAGATCATTTTAAAGACTTAAGACCATTTAAGACTTTTTAAGACCAGACATGCACAAATAAAATTAATACCATATGAGCGGGGTAGGGCAATATGGTGGCATATTAAACTGTAAAATGACTGTAAAAAGCATAATTTACAGTTCAGATACAGGTTTTCACAAATAGGTTTTATAAAATGATAAACTTCACATTTCAGCCTTTAAACCATTTATAAGAAAATGGATCAAAGTATCAATAATTATATTAACTTAAACATTTATTATCGATCAATTATTATATTAATTAAATAACATTGATTTTCGCTTTGGTCTGAACAAAAACATCAGACAGGCTTATTGAAAATGCAAATTTAAGACCTCTTGTCCCCAAATTTAAGACCTCTTGAAATCATAATTACGACTTTCTTGTACCATTTAAGACTTTTTATGGCCTTAAATTTGACACACTAAATGCAAGACTTTTTAAGGACCCACGGAAACCCTGTAACGTGATTTAAAATCATCTATAGTTTCTACATTACATCTGTCCAGATAACAGTTAAGAGCAGCACATGCCAACACACAATCATTAGGGCTAGCAAATTTGCTTACTTTATTACCTTTCGGATTACACTTTCTGACTCACAGTAGGAAACATTTATTGTAACATAACTCTAATAAGGAAATAAGAAAGGAAAAATTGGGATGTTTGTGTTCCTAATCTATAAATTAGGAAAAGGGGTATTGATATAAAAACTGTATACACATCGTATCATACTCCATTGTTATCTTTATCCACATTGTTTATGATCAGGAAGTGGAGATACATCTTTTAAAGAGGCCTTACGATAAAACAGTTCCCAATTCAGAGAAAACTATTTTAGGAAAGCTACACAAAATCCTGCAGTGTTTACCATTTACCTGGCTATAAACTGTACATGGGAACATGCCATAGACTAGTTTTTAAAAATATTTTAGATGAATTATTATATATTAGGCATTACATTCTCTCTGATACTTTAATGAATCCATTATGTCCTTCATACAGTCAAGATTTCCACTTCCTGCAGCAGCGAAGAACCATCCTAACAAGACTAGTCCACCTCCATGTTAGACTGTGGTGATTTTTTACACCAGATGTACAGCTGATTCATGGGTCCAAAAAGTTCCTATTTGGTTACAAACATCCTTCCACACATAAGAAAGCTAGTGTGCTGATAAGCACACAGCAAAGGTGTGTAGGATCACAAGACAACAGCTCTGATTGGAAGATAGCAGACACAGCACAGCACCATTTGGGTTAAACTGTCTCTGCTTTTGTTAGTTTATACTTATAGTTTATACAACTTTTTGATATCTTTGTGTCATAAATTCAGAAAAGTACAGTTTATCATTAAATCTGAAACTGTAGTGTGTGTGTGTGTGTGTGTTATGCAGGGCAGTTTTCTGTCATGCTGTAACAGACGGGTGGTGTAAGGAAACGTCTGTTTAGTCTCATCCATGCTTATATAATATGTCATGAAAGACATTTTCAATGGCTTATTTTCTAAAGACTGCAGGTGCAGGACGCTTCTGACACACCGGCTCTGAAAACACAAAACAGACATACAGCACACAAACATGAGAAGACCTGTAATCTGAATTAACAAAAGCCTATAGGTGTAGACATACACAACTTAACAACTTCACTAAATCCGTGTGGCATTAAAGCTATTGTACATTCTGCAGTACTACTTACTGTGGCAATAGTGTTTAGTTAAGTAAGCAGATAAGTAATGCTATTTCTGAATCATCTTTCTTCTGTGCATTCAGTGAAAAGTTTGCTGGCTCTTTGCTGTGTCTCAGGAATACAGCAAGACAACTGCAGGGAAACCTAGACCTTCAAAACAAAGGGGCGTCCTGCAGCTTTCTATGTCTAAAAAGGTTTTATAATGACTTTGAATTAGGTGCACATTTTACAAAAAAAAATCGTATATATTCAGAGCCGGCAGTCTAACAGACTGATGTAAAAACAAATGACAATGGAGAGCAATAAAGACAAAAAGTTGGATTACAAGAGACGAAAAGAGGGATGATGAAAGGAGGAGAGATGTTGTCATGCTCAGAAGAAATTTGAGCTTAGGTTGCACTACTGCACTTGGCTGCACAACAACATTTTTCAGAGTTTTGAGAGCGAATTCAACTAATCAATCTATTCTGAAAAAAATCCAACTTTTCCTTCCTTTGGAGAGAGGACGAGTGAATGCGCCACATAAACTGTACAAAGGCAGAGCACACTCAGAGAACACAAGAAACAACCACCAAAAACTTCAGATATAAGACATTGACACAAATCAAGAAATTTGACCAGAAGAGAGCAATCTGAAAGTGCATGTCTTCTAATATTTCACTCTAATAAAGACAACTTAGACATTAAAGAAAGAATGAGTGCAAGAGATCTCAAAGGAATTGAATGTAACGCAATCTAGATCTTGGGTCTTCATTCATCTCAGTAATTGAAGCACATAAGGGCTTCTGGGTTGCTACAGCGCTAGAAATATTGAGCTGTGATAATGACCTCACTGTGACTGTCCTCAGCTGGGAGTGAAGAACACACTCATGTCACACTAGCACACTGTCCATAACCATGCCAAACCACAAGCCAGGACAGAACCATTTTCTCTGTCCACTCCACTCAAAGAATTCTTTTTACTTGTCTATAGCTGCACATTCCCTCTGAGTGTTGGGAAGTTACGCAAAATTATTTATCAAAATTAACCTAACAATATCAGAATAATACTCACACACGTTTAGAGCTGCTTTACAGCAGAATCTGAACTGTCTCCATAGTTGAGTTTCATAATTGATTCTGCTATTCCAGTTTATCTCTGTAATAGAGATACATTTGACTATATATTTTACACTATTTCTATCATATAAAGTGCTACAGAAATAAAGGTGACTTGACTTAACTCACATACTGTTATATAATGTCATCATTCATATTTGTTAATAACCAGTAGTTTTGAATTCTTTATTTTATGTTTTATTAAAATGTAAGTACATTTTTTATATAATATGATAAGTCATTATTTAATTTATTAATGACCAGTAGGCAAGAATTATTTATTTAATTTTTATTTTATTTATTATTGAAACTTAAGATACGGTTTTCATATAATATATTACTCATTAATATATAAAACACATCACAATACAATAGTCATTTTCCACATTTGTTAATAATCAGTAGGCTATAATTTTTTTTTTTACTGAAAGTTAAAGGTGACCTATTATGCCCCTTTCTACAATATGCAATATAAGTCCCAGGTGTCCCCAGAATGTGTCTGTGAAGTTTCAGCTCAAAATACCTCACGGGTCATTTATTATATCATTTTGAAAACGCCTATTTTGAGAGGAAGCTCTTTTCGTGCATGTATCTTTAAATGTAAATTAGCTGCTGCTCCCCGCCCCCTTTTCCAGAATAGGGCTGTGCCTTTACAGCTCGTATGTCAGATACTCTGATAAAAAAAAACATCTGTCTGGTTTTGATTATCATGTTTATCGCGCTGAAATCATGCGTTTTAAAGCCACATTAGTTTAAACTTCTGATAAAGTGTTTTCTGAGCACACACATCCAAAGCACACGCACAGAAAACAGCTGTCACATGGCATGTGAGTACTAAACTAAGTTTTCTTTCATGTCAAGTTTTCTTATTGTGCTTAAACTGTCAAATGCAGTCGGTTATGTCTGTGAAGGTAAACAGCAGGGAAAGAAATCGCATGTTTATATTAGAACTGTGTGGCAGCAGCGTAGTAAATAAATAAATCCACTACTCTGTTGTCTCCTCTGAGGCTGGGACTCTAAATAGTGTTTTGTGCTCGTCTGTGCAGCGAACGACAGAACAGTTAGCATGCTTTGCTCAAACTTTTGCCATGGCGCTAGAACTGGTACACCGTTGTTGCTTGTGAAAACAAGTGGAAACGTGCAGATAAAGGGGCATGATATTATAATAAGATCCCTTTGCCACGTCACAAAGGGAGTGAAATCTGACGCGCTCGCTTTTTCAGATGCTTGCAGAAAGAGACTTACCAAAACAAAGTTACTGGGTTAATCTTTTTCACGTTTCCTGGGTTGGTAGATGCACCGGGGACCTGATTATAGCACTTAAAATCGGAAAAAGTCCGATTTTCATGATATGTCCAATTTAAGTAAAATCTAAATATAATATTAGTAATGTAATTATAATTAGAGCCCGACCGATATATCGTTTTGCCGATATTATCGGCCGATATGAGCCTGTCGCCGATATATCGGTATGTGTCTATTTTTGTATGTGTATATGAATTTTTTTTTACAGAGCATATAACACAGATAAAATGCTTGGAATGGTGTAATTACTTAGTTGTCCAGCAGAGCGCACTCTATTGTTTGCTACTGGCGACCTGGAAGAAGCGCTTTAAAGCTTAGTCTATGGAAAACCATTGAAACTTTGAACGGCCATATCTCCGTAACGGCGCGGCCAATCCGCACCAAATTCGGGGGATCCCTTCATCTCGAGGAACCCTCTCGAACGCGAATCGAGTGTACGTCTAGAGGCCCGCTTTCGAAGGAGAACCACCTCCGCGCCGATAGTCCCCGGGGTTTGGGAGTTACGGGCGGTTAAATTCGCGGTCCGGCGCCTACCGATCAAGCGATCTCGGGGGGCTACCGACGCGCGGAGGGTGGCGTTCGACAGGGCTGCTTGAGCTGAAGGGATCCCCCGAATTTGGTGGAGATCCGCCGACGCGTTCGCGAGATAGTGACACCAGTCAACATTTTCACTTCAGTAAGGAGGTCTCTTGTTCAGGCAGCATTCAAGCGTGGTCTTTTTCGACCGTAAGTGCCCTGCAAAGTGGACTTCACATGAAATTCTGCCATGATTCCAGTTCCAAGGAAACGTACACGTTACATTCAAAGGGCATTAAAGTGCGGGAGAAGTGAATTTATATTTAGGGATGCACCGAATGTTCGCCAAACGCAGTGTGGAAGCATTTATACTGTCGGAGAAAGACGCAAAAATCATTACAAGCACCGACAGCGAGAGACCGTTTAGGACTGCATCGCGTGTCTTCAATGAGAAGAGGAAGGGGTGATTGTTACTGGTTACTGTATGATGATTGAAATCGCGAAATGGCCTTAAACAATTAGTAAATAAACTGCAGAACGTTATGTTTTCTAATACACGCGCGCATTGCGTGTATTCTGACAGCGCTGCACGAGCTCGCAGCGGATCTGCTTGTTAACCAGGGTTCAAAGTCTAAAGCGCGAGGAAAATCTGAGCTGATACAGTCGTCAGTTGCTCAGTCACATTTTTATGAATTTTTACAAGGCATGTGACAATGCGATACGTACGACGAATTCGTAATGAGACTCATTTATAAATCTTGTTAACAAAAATAAGCATTGAGGTCCTTCTTGCGCATTTCCGCCAAAATAAAAGTTGAGAAAAAGCAAAAACTCTTATCAACATTCATAAATGTTAGTATTGTAATTTTACTGTTGTTCTGTAAAAAAAAAAAAAAAGACAATAATAATGATAATAATCATTACAACAGCTCTATTTTAATACATTTATTATAACATTCACACATAGTGTTCAAATTAGGATCTGTAATATTTTCTAATGTTTTAAGAAGTCTCTTCTCAGCAAGGCTGCTTTTAATTGTACAGTAAAAAAAATAAAAATACATGCCTGATTCAAGAAGGGGGTCTGATGGCCAAAAATGATTATTTTACTAACTTATTAATTTTAAGTTAAATTGTGCTTTGTTTGTATAGTGTCTGTTAGAAAGTAAAAAATGTTCAGCGTTAAATATTTTTAAATTGTTGTTTTGTAATTGATTTTATTTTTTGAAAAGCAAGACAAAACAGTAAAAAGCACATTTTAACCCGTAAGACCTCTGTTCATCTTCGGAACACAAATTAAGATATTTTTGATGGAATCTGACAGCTCTCTGACCCTCCCATAGACAGCAAGGGTACTACCATGATCAACATCCAGAAATGTAGCAAGGAGATCGGTAAAATAATCCATGTGACATCAGGGGTTCAACCGTCATATTACAAAGCTACGAGAATACTTTTTGTGCGCAAAAGAAAATAAAAATAACAATGACTTTATTTAACAATTCGTCTCCTCCATGTCACCCTAGCGCCATTTTGGAGAGTATCCACTGAACGCAAACAGCGTATGTTGTTCTGTGTCAGCCACACCACACGGATACGTTTTTTTTCGTTCCGAAGATGAACGGAGGTCTTACGGGTTTGGAACGACATGAGGGTGAGTAATTCATTTTTGGGTGAACTAAACCTTTAACTTTAACTTCAACATTACTGTTCAGAAGTTTTGGGTCAATATTTTTTTCAAGAACTGAATACTTTCATTCAGCAAGGATGCATTAAATAATTTACAAACATTTACACTGTTACAAAATATTTCTATTTTAAATACATTTTCTTTTGAACTTTCTATTTATCAAAGAATCCTGACAAAAATGTATTCTGGTTTACACATAAAGCAGCAAAAACTGTTTTCAACAGAAATGTTTCTTAAGCACAGAATCAGCATATCACAATGATTTCCGAAGGACTATGTGACACTGAAGACTGAATTAATGGCTCCTGAAAATTCACCATCACAGGAATAAATTGTATTTTTTGTTATTTTAAATTCTAATCATATTTTGAAGTATTGTTTTTATTGTATTTTTGATTAAATAAATGCAGCCTTGGTGAGTATAAGCAGGGCCGGATTTACGCATAGGCATTCTAGGCACGTGCCTATGCTTGCTCTTCCAAGGGGGCCCAAACACAATGAAGAGATATATAATATTTTTGTTATACTATGGGATGTCTACAACAGTAAAAGAACCAAAACCCCCAGAAGACATTGAGCAAATAAATATAACAAACAATAGGGAAAAAATGACAAACTATTTCCATGTGTTCAACCTTTTTTATGTACGGAAATCATGCTTTCTTTCTCCTGTTCTCTCTCACAGACGCACACACAGTACAGACACACACTCATGCACATACGCGGAGACGCAAAGAGAAACTTGTTGTCAGAGCTGCGGCTGCCCCGCAAATTTATCAATAAAATAGTTTTGGATTTCTCAATAGCGAGGTTCTTGAAGCAGTTCAACTTAAAGATTTGTTATTAGTAGACGCTGCTGCTGAATACTGCTGAGAGACGCACAGACGCAAGTATTCACATGCACTTAATCTCTCTCTCTCTCTAATAACTGCGTTAGACTGCATTAATAACTGCGTTAGCCTGTATATCAATGGCTCAAGCCTCTGTTATTAGCTCTAAAATGACATTTTGGAATTTGCAACTGAAGGTTTGGGATGAGGTGTGTAAAAAAGTTGCTAGTTCAACACACATGAGATTTCAGGACAGAAACATGTCAAATGTCTTGAAACAAATCATCTGAACAATTGATGTGTAATTGTGACTACAGGCCATTAAAATTATTATAGAAATAATGCACTCCCGAAGTGGTTATGGGGCCACGTCGCCGCACCTATTAATGGAATGGTCTTTCTCAGTTCTCAAACAAATTATAACTACATTTGATTTTTATTGACTGAACGTAAGCGCTTATTGCGATAGAAAACACTGTAACGGTTTCCAACCAAACACAATAAAGAGATATATAATTTTTTATTATACTATATGCACTCTAAAAAATGCTGGGTTAAATATAACCCAGCGCTGGGTTAAAAAGGGACAAACCCAGCTATTGGGTTGTTTTGACCCAGCGGTTGGGTTGTTTTGCTTGGGTGGTAGCCTATATTAGGCCTATTATATTAATAGGGAAGGGGGGCCCAAAAATTTGTTTTGCCTATATCACGAAAAGAGGTTTCATTCAAAAACATTTAAAATATATTATAGAGCCCATATGTTTGAATTGTAGTGAATGCAGAAATTAACAGTAGCCTTGTCTCATAAATGTATTTATTGTTAGTTCATGATACCTAATGCATTAATGCAACTTTATTGTAGACTTATTGATATTTTTAAAGGAATAGTTCACACAAAAAGTCTTTGCAACTTTACAGATCTTCTTTATGCACCAAGAGCTTGTAACACTTCAAAGAGAAAGGAAAAATTGAAATCGCATCATATGACCCCTTTAATAGGGAAGGGGGGCCCAAAAATTTGTTTTGCCTATATCACGAAAAAAGGTATAAGAGATTTCATTCAAAAACATTTAAAATATATTATAGAGCCCATATGTTTGAATTGTAGTGAATGCAGAAATTAACAGTAGCCTTGTCTCATAAATGTATTTATTGTTAGTTCATGATACCTAATGCATTAATGCAACTTTATTGTAGACTTATTGATATTTTTAAAGTAATAGTTCACACACACAAAAAAAATCAATTTTGGCATAATTTACTAATCTATTATATGGCTTCAGAAGACTTGGAATGAGGTATACAAGTTGTATGGACTATGAATAATTGTATAAAGCAATTGCATGAAGCAATTGCAGTATAAATCCACCCACTTTTATGGTATGGACAAGAGAAGAGTGGACAATTTGTCTAAAATTGTATTTTTTTCACATGGTAGAAAGAAAGTAATACTGGGTTTGGAACGACATTAAGGTAACATGAGAATGACGGCAGATCTGTAGAACATAGAAAAGACTTTAAGTGCAGATTAGCAAGAAATCAGGTCTTGGTTTAGTGACTGTTTTACCTTTGTCTGGAAGCAGCAGAATAGCTGGGTTAGATAGGGATGTTTTCTAGCCAGGGCTAGAATGCGTTTCTCTGTCAAAGTGCAGTCCACATCATCATCTTGAAGGATGACGTCTTTCTTTAAAACTTTCACAGCATAAACTTCATCTGTGCCTTTCAGCTCTGCCAGCATCACCTACAGCATGGAAAGGGCAAGGTGAAGATATTGATTCTTTTGTTTTCATATACTAAAACTGAAAAGTACTGATTTGTGAAAAATACTCACCTTGCCAAAGCTGCCTTTGCCCAGCACTTTGATGAATGAGAAGTCCGTGAGACTCATCGTCTTCGTCTGGACAGTCTTCACATCTCCATTCTCCCGGCCCTCGGTCACTGTGCTCTGAACGCCACTGCTTGCGGAAGAGGAGGAAGACTTGTGCTCCTGACCAAACGAAAGGGCCTTGCGGATACTCTCCAGTTCTGCAAGCTCCGCTACCGATAGACAGACATAAACATTAGACTTAAAGGCATAATTCTTTAAAAAAAAAAAAGAGATAATTCTGGCATTATTTACTCACACACTTAACCTGTATGAGTTATTTTCTTTCATAAAACACAAAAGGAGAAATTTTAAATGATACTGGATAAAATTTAAACATCCTTTTTGGATGAACGATCTCTTTAAGTGTGCACATAAATTATGAATATGTATTAGTGAAAGACTAAGATTGCTAAAATTGAGAGAGAGAGTGTGTAATTCTGTACCCTGGTCGCAAGGTGAAGTTGGAGCTGATTTGCATCGGTCAGACTCCTCTGATGAGGGGGCTTCTGTTAAAGGTTGCTGAGGGTCCTGCCCTGGAGTCAACTGAAGAGAGAACATTTTTAATATCAATACTAATGTTTTTAATATTTTAATGTCTTTTTAGCCTAATCCTTTGTCGTCACTGGCCTCATTTTACTGCATCATTATTTAAAGTGATCATGCTTTTATTTCATAATTTAGTTTTCATGAACATTTTCCAATGTTTTTTTTTTCATGTGAAATGAGCAACAGTATTGTACAACAGTACTGTAGGTTATTGCATTGACCCATGGTCCAATCTGGCCTCCCCACATTCCCTGATATTTAAGACTACGCACCTTTTTCCTGCGCTGGGTAGTGTTGGAGATCTTATCTGGTGTCACCCCGAGATCAGAGAGCACTTTAGCAATTTTTCTAGCATCGACACCACAGCTAGGAGCTACATTACTTTCACAACGCCGATGGACATTCATTTTACAGGCTGAAAACGGGCAGGAAGACAGAAATAAATACATGGCAATAATAACAACTTGATTCTTGACCAAAATTATTCTTCACAACACTTACCTTTGCACTGCAGGCCTTGTTTTAAGTAGGGTTCCTTGCTCTCTACTTAGCAGCTTTGCAGGTCAGGTTAGCTCCAGTCTATTTACGGTGGCACACCTGAAACATCAAGGTTGGTAGCAGACTGAGGACAGTTTCCCTTTGACTAGCTGTTCTTTGACTCGAGTGGAGCGAGATGTCCCTCACTATGTTTGTGGATATTGAAGTAGGGTTCCTTGCTCCCTCTGTTCGATCTGCATGTATGGTATGATATGGGTTGGGCTGTTTCCCTTGTAATTAGAGTTTTTTTTTTTTAAGTAGACGGTCCACCTATGACCATAGAATGAGTCTCTTTTTAGGCTCCCTATTCGGGAGATATTTTTGTCAAAGATGTACCGGTTGAGGCCATTTCATTTGATAAGATCTCCCCTCCTAGTCGTGAGCTCTTTCCCTATACCTAATACTTTTGGTAGCAGGGTTGGGCTGCCTCCCCTTGTTCAGGGCATTGACTTAGGAACATATCTGTTTGAGGACAGTTGTTTTCCCAACTTGGTTGAATGGCATGTCCCTCCTTAATAGTAGAGTTGGTTGGGTGCCCCATTTCCAGGCAATGCACTGAAGCATGGCATAATGGGTATTTCGTTCCCCATAGTGTCCACTAGAGGATGCAGTGAGAGTTCCCTTGAAGGGGAACGTCTCGGGTTACGCATGTAACCATGATTCCGCGAGAGGGAACAAGACACTGCACCTCATTGCCAGGCCTAGGGCCTGCCTGTTTCATGTTTCAGACAAAGAAGCTGATGACGTGCATTACAGGCGCCCTATTCTACTTCAGAGCGTACCGCTAATTATGTCATGGGCTATGCAGTCCAGTGGATTACAGGGCACGCAAAATCGCTAGCCCGACATCCTGGGGATATTGTGTTTTCCAGTCGGAATACCAAAATGTTTCACCACCCTGCCCGACGGGCTATCTTGAACAGTGATATAAAATTCCTTCCTTGATTTACTTTGTTCACTTGCTTGTAGGGGTAAAACGGATCGTAGTTGATCATTTGCACGTGTTTATAAATTTCCTGCCGATTTAAACATTCAACTGTTTTAAACCATTCACGCACAATCGGAGCTGCGCGCACCGAGAGCCGCGTTTCAGACAATGTGCGTATCTGTACGGAGCGCATTTGGCTCTCACGGGAGCTGAATGCATGCTGCACGATATGGTCATGAAACGGTGTAATATGAGAGAGTGGATGTGCCAGGTGTGATGCATTAGCGAGACTGACTAAAAGAGACAGGTAAAGAGCTTTTCTTTTCTGTTCTCTCCAGAGTGATAGTAGTTAGTGTTTGCACGAGCATGTCCGGCTCTCGAGGAGATTATAGTGATGCTTGAACTAAGCACACTTAGCTCTCGGGAGATTTAAATGTGTGTTGTGTGATGCGGTCGCAATAATCAGTTCCACTCAGGCTTGACTCTTGAGAGAGAGAGATGAGAGTTGAGCTCCTACACTCTGTGGTTCGGTTCCCGCCAGCCGCCATAGTGGTGAGGCAGGATCGAGCACGGGGGTTGTAAGTGGGGCACGGGAGGAGTAGACTGAGGACAGTTTCCCTTTGACTAGCTGTTCTTTGACTCGAGTGGAGCGAGATGTCCCTCACTATGTTTGTGGATATTGAAGTAGGGTTCCTTGCTCCCTCTGTTCGATCTGCATGTATGGTATGATATGGGTTGGGCTGTTTCCCTTGTAATTAGAGTTTTTTTTTTTTAAGTAGACGGTCCACCTATGACCATAGAATGAGTCTCTTTTTAGGCTCCCTATTCGGGAGATATTTTTGTCAAAGATGTACCGGTTGAGGCCATTTCATTTGATAAGATCTCCCCTCCTAGTCGTGAGCTCTTTCCCTATACCTAATACTTTTGGTAGCAGGGTTGGGCTGCCTCCCCTTGTTCAGGGCATTGACTTAGGAACATATCTGTTTGAGGACAGTTGTTTTCCCAACTTGGTTGAATGGCATGTCCCTCCTTAATAGTAGAGTTGGTTGGGTGCCCCATTTCCAGGCAATGCACTGAAGCATGGCATAATGGGTATTTCGTTCCCCATAGTGTCCACTAGAGGATGCAGTGAGAGTTCCCTTGAAGGGGAACGTCTCGGGTTACGCATGTAACCATGATTCCGCGAGAGGGAACAAGACACTGCACCTCATTGCCAGGCCTAGGGCCTGCCTGTTTCATGTTTCAGACAAAGAAGCTGATGACGTGCATTACAGGCGCCCTATTCTACTTCAGAGCGTACCGCTAATTATGTCATGGGCTATGCAGTCCAGTGGATTACAGGGCACGCAAAATCGCTAGCCCGACATCCTGGGGATATTGTGTTTTCCAGTCGGAATACCAAAATGTTTCACCACCCTGCCCGACGGGCTATCTTGAACAGTGATATAAAATTCCTTCCTTGATTTACTTTGTTCACTTGCTTGTAGGGGTAAAACGGATCGTAGTTGATCATTTGCACGTGTTTATAAATTTCCTGCCGATTTAAACATTCAACTGTTTTAAACCATTCACGCACAATCGGAGCTGCGCGCACCGAGAGCCGCGTTTCAGACAATGTGCGTAGTACACAGAATTGATTCCTCTTTCGCATATCCTTGCATCTGAATGAACACATACACACAAAATTATCTCAAAATAACTGTCTCGGCAAGTATTCTCATAAACACAGTCAGTTATGTCTTAAATGAACGTAAACAGTGGAGAAAGAAATCTCCTGTGCATCATTATACTGGATCCGTGCATTCGGTGTTGACGTGTCATGACGTGATTATGAAGGTGCCATGTCAGTCTTATGCACACCCCTTCAAGTAAAGTGTTACCTAAACTTGTGTATCTTTACACATTATTTATCAATATTTCACATTTAAAACAGTCCTCATCATCTTGCTACAGTACATTTAAATCTTGTCACATTATCTCATTATGTTACGTTTTTTGTGGTATCCCACTATTTTTATATAAAATTTACAAGAAAAATGTGGCTGCTTATATTACTTGTCACACTGTCAACAGAAGGTCATGATAAGTGCATCGTATTCTGGGAAACAGTATTCCTTGCAGTATTTTCTGTTGTGAATTGGGAACATTTTGGCAAAGGTATTAGGTCAGAAAACATCATAATGTGCAGTATACACACTTCAGAAACTAATACAAGTATGCAAGCTCAAATGTAGCTTGTCTCTGTTAGAGAGAGCAAGGATGTAGAACTGACCTCTTCAGGAGTGTCTTCCTGTTTCTTCAAGCCAGCACATTTTGTTATAATGAGCTCATGGCATCTCTTATGGACCACGCAGGTACACACTGAGAGATTTGGGGAACAGGCAAAAAGTTAACTTTGCATGGTAATTAAAAACACAGATATATAAAGATTGGGTAATCAAACCAGGAAAGATTACAATTGATTTTATTATCACTGTACATAAGAGAAAAGTCTTACTCACCCTGACACTGATACCCCTGTTTCCCCAGCACACCCCTGCAGAACCACAGTGAAATAAATGTGTTAGGCAACTCTGGCATACAGCAAGATTATGCAGTTCTGTTTCTGACCAGCAGAGGGGCACTGTGTTACAACACTGATGCATCTAGAGCTGATTGTGTCAGTGGCAACAAGCAGCATTGTGTGAAACCACACAGATGCAATGTTCACCAGGTATGCAAATAGTTAAACCTAACAGTTATTACTCTACAGGGAGGAAATGTTTGCAGAGATAAAAATAAACATTTGTCTAATCTATGAATGCATCCTTTTAGGCCCTCAGCACTAGCACAAAGAACAGTGGCTCTAATTTGCTTTCAATATTAATATTCATTACAAAAACTCTTTTGTTGGAATCAAGAGGAGTGCCTGTGATTAGCATCATGCATTGTCTTCAAAAATTACATAAACAAAACCTTTTATATATCTGAAAGTGATAATGAAGGTACAGAAGTAGCTGTTGTTAATTGGATAAAGGGCAACAGGTGAGGGGCACTGTGAGTCCTACCAGATGAAATCTCTGCAGTGGGAGCAGTAGGTGGGCTGTCTCAGGTAGGTGGCCATGAATTTGTGACCATTGACCTGATGGACGCGCCTCCGGACCGCTCCCTGCCGTTTCCGTGGACGCATTCGCTCACGGAACACTCTCTCCTCATTTTCATTGGATGATGCAGCTGCAGAGTAAAATGACATGGAAAAATAATTTAGTTGAATGTTATTATATTGAATGTGTATATATTTTAAATAAAACATTTATTTATTTATGTATTTATGTGTGTGTGTGTGTGTTAGTTCATTATTTTATTTTATTTTATTTATTTAATATATTTTTTTAAATAATACTTTTTTTCAGCAAAAACATTAAAATCATATCAATAAGAGATGTTCTTTTGAACTTTCTTTAAATCAAATAATCTTGAAAAATTTCTCACAAAAAATGTATCATAGTTTCCATAAAAATATTAATTAGCAGCACAACTGTTTTAAACATTGATAAGAAATGTTCCTTGAACACCAAATCATTACATCAGATTGAATTCTGAAGGATTACACTGAAGACTGGAGTAGTGATGCTGAAAATTCAGCTTTGACATCACAGGAATAAATTACATTTTAAAATAAATTCAAATAGAAAACAATTATTTCAAATGGTAATAATATTTTACAATATTGCTCTTTTTACTGTATTTTTATACATTAAAAAAATCTTACTGACCCCAATCTTTTGAACAGCAGTGTACATTTAGCATGAATTGAATTTTATTTAAACATTGTCTCCACCAATGGGGAGTCTGGGGTGAGGCTACCTGTTAATTCAACCAATAGTAGATATGGCTTGAAAACCTGTTTGAAAACATTTTTTTCACTTATCTTCTTTCATAGTAGTAACTAAAGATAAAAGCCAACATAAACACTTTCTAAAGTGAACACACACCCACACACTCTGGTACAGTAGAACATTGGTCAGTCACCAAACACCAAAAGTCTGGTCGTTCCTCAAGAAACCTCATGATCTAAAATCAACCCAGCCATCAGAGAAAGTGAACAAACACATCATTGATTCTCAAGCAACTCTTCCCCTCACTTTCCCCCTTTGAGGGCTGCAGTAATTGTGTATATGTGTGTTGATCATGAGAGAAACTGGCGGCCGAGGACCACCTGACCAACCATGTGACCCACCGCCACGGCTCTATGCATTCCAACAGTCAGGTGATGCCCTTAGGGGGAACAGCGTTCCTTCATCACACAAACAACTGTGAAATTACATTCACATCACTATGTGTGTTGTGGCAGTGCCCATAATGTACCCTGTGTCCATCAATGAGAGAGAGAGAGAGAGAGGATGCCTTGGAGGAGAGTAGAGAGTCTGACAACTTTCTCCCTCTTGCTTTGTTCCAATAAACTTGCCATCCAACTCCTCCCACACTTCTTGTCTTTCAGTACAGCAGCGTATGTGTGGGCTGCATTATTTTAATGCAGTCTTTAAGGGGAGCTGCTGCAGTGGTGTGATTACAGGTAAAAATCCCCGTAGGGCGGCACACAGCCCCCATAGAGCGACTAGGCTCGGTACAATTACCATTGCGAGGTTCCTGGGGGACGTTCGGTGAGCGTGTGTGCGAACGTCTATGTGTATATCTGCGTTCTGTCTCCTGTCAGGGTGCTCCTGGGGCAAGTTGTGCACGTGTGTTGTCTCATATCAGAGTGTCCTGTCTTCAGGAGCAGGCAGCTGCTCGGGAGAACAGCGCGGCAGATAAAAGGGCCATTAGTGGGATAGATGTGCTTACATAATACATTATCCATCTGCTCAAAAAGCAGGGCTTAACCAGAACACACCTATACCTCCCAGCACAACACAGCTCACCTTAGAGAACCACACACAAACACACTGACAGGGGACACCAGGGGAGTTCATACCGTCTGTATTCACTTTATAGATCTAGTCAGAGTAGCCGCCATATTTAATTTGACATGAACATGAGGCAGGGAGGAAATTAATAGCTTTGTTTTAAAATCTAGTTTTTACCTCTGATTTACTGCAATTTCTGAACTGTCCCTCTCAAATGGACCATTGACACTCTATCTACAATCTCAATTAGGAGTGTCAATGGTCTATTTGAGAGATAGGTGGCGGTAATGCACATATAAGTCTGCGATCCGCCATAAAGCTAAAAGAAGAAAACCCGCTGAAGAAGAAGACAGAAGACAGGACAGTTCGGACATTGCAGTGAATCGGAGGTAAAAAACTATACAAATACAGTTCAGTTTCTTGCACAGACCGATCGTTTCATGTCTTTACACATCAATGTATCGTCACGAGCCGCAGGGTTTAATTTGGTTTGGTTTGTGTATGGTATTTTTTACTCTCAAAGCCGTGATTCCCATTCACTTCCATTACATGACTGACAGACTGCAACGGTTTGAGTTAAAAATCTTTGTTTGTATTATACTGAAGAAAAAAAGTCACCTACATCTTGGATGCCCTGGGGGTAAGTAGATAAACATCAAATTTTCATTTTTGGGTGAACTATCTCTTTAAGGCAGTATGACATATTGAAGCCTCACTGTTGCTTGTGTCAAAGTAAATATGCTCTCCACTCTTATTAAGCTCTATATGGAGATTCCTGGATCTAGTCTGTGTTTCGTTTTACACACACATTTTTATCTGTATAGTGGTTGGCAGATAAGGATGGTTTCAATGGCTGAGACTGATATCTATAAATAAGGTGCAGGTGGCTAATACAATACACACACACTATTTATTGCTAACAGTACATACATATATTGAAATAATGTTGAAATAAAAACAAATAATTAAATAAATATTAGATCAGACTTAAACTTAAAGACTTAAACAAAAATAAGAAATGCTTAAAATGAAATAAGTTTAAGTTGAACTACTAAAATTACTAAAGCAGAAATAAAAATCAGTTGAAGTTAAAGGTGCAGTAGGAGATCTGGGAAAATGCTAACTTTAGCCTGATAGCACTGAAAGTGAATGTCCCACCCTCCCTGCAATCGTTATCCAAAGCCACGCCCCCTGAACGCACATACGCTCACAGACCAGAATGCCAGAGACAACATTACTATAATAAGCTACAGCGGTTCCCAATTCCATTTCTTGCACATTTCACATTTCATATGTATCACTTATCACGTGCGACGTTTGTTCTATTCGACCGTAAGTGCCCTGCGAAGTGGACATCACCGGATATTCTGCCTTGATTCCAGTTTGAAGAGAGCATATATGTTCCATACAAAGGGCATTAAAGTGTGCGAGACGTAAAATTAAATAGTATTTATTTACAGAGGTATATTATGTCACACTTCTCTACTAAGTTTCGTCTGTGTGCGCAGCGCAAATTCGTGAAGGAATGTTCTGAAATGAAGTAAACAAATGGATTTCCCCTGCTCAGGGAGTAGGGAGCAAAGAACACTGTGCAGGGAGCATGTCAATCGGTACACAGTTCATGCATGTAGCTCACTACTAACGAGCTGGTTATCTGAATCGGGTGTGTTAACTAAGCGAGATATATATGCAGAGTGGGGAGGCGCGAGGACTGGAATTGGGAACCGCGTTGGGCTACATCATGTGTCATTCACCAGTGAGAAAACTTTATAGTACAGTTAGTAAAAGTGCTACAATACCAGGAAGGATGATCGGGTTGTTGATGTTGGTCTGCCATTCTTGCTCTGTCTGCACAGCGTGCGTGAACGCGCTGATGACATATCCTGTCTGCACGAACAGGGTGCGCAGAGGTATGCTAATACATATGTTGACAGGCAGATAGGAAAGCCAATTAAAGCGCTCGGACCGAGCATTTTGATTGGACGAACATTTCTTGGTCCTACACCTTCCACTGAATGTATAAATACAGATAAATACATTTAGACTAGGGCTGCACGATAAATCGCATGCGATGTTTAACGCGCATCTTGTCAGTAAAACCGGTTCTGTAATCAGAGGTAAATCTCCATCACCTGCGGGCTTTCACATTGAGCAGCATTAACTACACAGAGCCGTTGTTTACTGACAAGCTGCGCAAAACCCCGTTCATATTCGCGCAATTTTTTGCGCAGCTCATAACTTAATGATTGCTATCGGGATGTGAAGAGACTTTCAACCAGCATAACAAAAAAAATTTCTGAAGACAATCACCTATTGCACCTTTAAGTAACTAATAAAAATGAGGCACCATCCGCACCATATTCATCCTTCTACGCCTCTCTCTGTTGCTCTCTTTTTGTTTGTGTATATTTCGGCCACTATTCTCCTGATTGGCTTATGGAAGGCTGAGCTGATGAGAGTTTGAGCCGAGCGGCTGTATTCGCCCACGGTCAGACAGCCAAGAGGAGCTCGGAGCAGCCTCCACCCACGCCAATGCCACTTCAGCCCCAGACACGCCACCCACAAGCACTCTCCAATCCAGCCAGAGCACAGCATGGGACCAATTAATATGGCATCAATCAGAAAAAGAGAGGGATGGAGAGAGAGATTGCAAATCTGCTTATAACTCAGTGACAGTTGGTTCCATAACTTCAGATTGATCAGTGAGTGGCAGATGAGCCACACAACCTTCAACTTCATTATCCCAGGTAAAGTTTAGAGCTACAGAAATAGTGCAGATTGATAGCACCCTGCAGGTACATGCTGGAACAACCTGGTTAGTGCCAGTTTGGTGCTAGTCTAGCTGGTTGACCACTGTAGTTCTGTTGAATTTGGTCTTTCTATTGAAAACAAAGGGAAATGTGCTGGTTAAGACCAGCATCACTTGCTACAGACCAACATCCAAAACACACCATATGCTGGTCAGTGGCATGCACGGGGTGGGTGGGTGTACTGCGATTGATGACTGCGATTTATAACGAGGGGGAAACCCCCCCCGTTCTGACCGCAAATTCTACCGAGGCCACCACCCCCCAGACCGCGATGAGGACTTGGCCATTCATAATTATTACTAATTGACTGTTGTTGAATCTAATTTACATTAAATGGTGAACCACATTTACTTCCTTTCAAACAGTAATTAATCAACACAAACTGCAAAAGCAAAAACTATAATCTGTTATAAAATCATCTTGACTCACTCAGTCAGATTAAGTGAAGCAAATTGCTGTTTGTGCTTGTGCATGTATCCTGCATCAAAGTGCAAGTAGTTCCCTCCAGTACTGTATG